TATTATTATTAATATTAAAGTCCCTACCATCATTATTCATTTCTTGCCATGATATTTGAACTTGATAGGAGAGATACTCTAAAGCTGAGGTTTCAAGGTTTTTTTTTTCCCCCCTTTTTTTTGGTGGTACTGAGGTTTGAACTTAGGACCTCACCATTGCTAGTCAGGTGCTCTACCACTTGAATTTCATACCTTGCCTTAAAGTTCTTTTCATCTATATAGATACTATTGGCCTTGTGATTAAAATATCTTAAAAATCTTTGACTTTAAGAATGTATTTTTAAGCTGGGTGTGTTGGCACTCACCTGTAATCTCATACTTGGGAGACTGAGACAGAAAGATCCAAAGTTTGAGGCCAGCCTGGGCCACATAGTGAGTTCAGGGCAAGCTTGGGCTACATAATGAGAGACCCTGTCTCAAAAAACAACAACAATGAAAAAGAACTTATTTTTATCCGAAATATTTGAAGTCATTTGGATAGTAGAGATCATACACATTCCCATGTCACCATCTACTCTTTCATTTCAACTTCTTTTAGTTAATTAATACCATACACCTCATTAGAATTTTTTTGGAGTTACTTTAGTTTTTGTTTTGCTTATATAAGGTAGACTTACTGAAAATAAAAGCTTTTTAGAAAGAGCTATTAACTTTACTTGAAAAATAGAGAGAGAGACAGGAAAACATTGTTCTTACCCAGGGTCTATTAAAGTGTCTTATTCACTCCCTAACTCTAGTGCCTGAACCGGTGTCGGGTACATAGTAGATATTCAGTAACATTTGCTGAACAATTAGAATAGAGTCATGGAAAATATTCAATTGAGATGATAACCCTGTGTACGTTTTTTGTATGCTATTATCCTGTGTATACTTTCTGTCCAAATAAATTGGTAACAAGTTTATTTTGGCATGTGGAGGATCATTTTAGTTTTCCTTTTTTAACTTTTAGCACATATTTTTGTGCATCCTTCCTCTGTCTGTATATGAGCAACATGCAGATTAGTTGGAAGCACAATGGCAGTCCGCCAAATAGTTTATAATCTTGTTAAGAACATAGTCTTTTGTTTGTTTGTTTGTTTTTGTGGTACTAGGGCTTGAACTCAAGGCCTTCACCTTGAGCCACTCCACCAGCCCTATTTTTGTGAAGGGTTTTTTGAGATAGGATCTCGTGCAACTATTTGCCTGGGCTGGCTTTGAACCACTGAACTCCTGATCTCTGCCTCCTGAGTAGCTAGGATTACAGGCATGAGCCACAGGCACCCAGCAAGAACATAGTCTTTTGAGAGTATATTGTCCCACAGTTTCTCATTAAATACTTTGTCATTAAAATAACTAAAAAGAGACTTTTTGTTATAAAATACTATATACTTTTTGAGGAATTTTGTGTTCTTTATCTTTACAGATTTTACAGATTTTGCAGTCCCAGTCAGATGCAGCATATCAGATATCACAACAAGTGGGTTGGCAAGACACCTTGGTTAGACTTTTTTTAAAAGCAAATTTTGAAAATGGAAATTCTCTTCATAAGCATAGTAGGACTATTTTACTGAAAGAAAATAAAAATATAGCAACTGAAGATACTAAGAGGAGCTTTGAAAAGACAGATGAAGAAAAAGTCACCTCTTTTGCCTCAGCTAATGTGTCTTCAGATCTTTGGAGTTTGGAAGATAAACACTCTATAGACTCAAACACACCATTATTTCAAGAAGATAGCTCTGTGGGAGAACTGTCTTTTAAGTCAGAGAATCAAGAAGAATTCTGGCATAGTAACCCTTCACATTTGAGTTTAGATCTCAGTGGAATTGACTCATGTGAACTGAGTGATAGTGGAAGCCAAATGCCAGACAGCCTACCTAGCACGCCATCTCCCATAGAGTCTACTAAATCATTTTCTGTGCAGTCTGACAAAGAAAGTAGCATCACAAATGACATGGGCTTTAGTGATGACTTCTCTTTACTTGAAAACCAAGAGGTAAAATTGTTTCTTTTTCCAAATGATGTGTTTTTATCTGATTTTATTTTATTTTTATCTATTGTTGTGCTAGATGGGGGTACATTGTAGCAGTTACAAAAGTTCCAGATATACTTGAATTCACTCTCTCCACCATACTCCCTTTATCTCCCCCTCCCCCCATTCCTGGAATAGTTTCAGCAGGTATCATTTTCACATTTACATATATGTGTCCACAGTATTTGCACCATATTCACCCTCCTATACCTGTTCCCCACCACGTACTGCCTCCCACTGGTACCAATCCCTTACCCCCACAGGATCTGTTCTGCTCTCCTGTTCTCCAATTTTGTAGAAGAAAAAAGAAAAAAAAAAAGACATTTCTGCTTGTTTAGGATAGCTACACAGGGAGTTTTCTTATGACATTTCCATGTATATATGTATTATTACCTGAATTGGTTCATCTCTTCTAGTTTTCTTTATTCTGCCTTCTCTGTTTCCTATTGTAGTTTCAGCGGTTTAAAAATCCTGTATTCAATATTTATCAAATGATGTTTTAATTTTAAGGTTTATGTCTGTTATATACTTTGAATTCTTATCAATGTGTGAGTAATTATTAACAATTTCATACTATTTTCATGTTCTAAGTTTTATGATCTAAGATTTAGAAGCCTAGAAGGCACTAGTCACTTGTCTTTCTTTTCTTTTTTTTTTTCTCCTTTATTGTAGTACTAGTGATTAAATTCAGGACCTTGTACATGTTTGGCAAGTGCTGTACCACTGAGCTATATCCCCAGCCCTGTTAGTGTTTTGATAACAAAGATGATGTTTTATGCATCTTGTATCTGCCAGGGCTTACTAAAGTTCCAGGATCATCAAGACATTTTTAAAAATATGATGTACTGTGGGCAGAGTGGCTTGAACAGTAGAGTCCTGCCTAGCAAGTGTGAGGCTCTGAATTCAAACCCCAGTCACAAAGAGGGAAAATAGCCCCAGATATACTATTAGTATATGCGATTATTTGTATGATGTGCTTTTAACCCTTCCTTCCTCCGATAATTTAATATTTACCTTTTAACAGAGATGTGAGGAGGATCTTCTTCAATTGCTAACAGATATTTTGAATTATGTAATGTGTAAGGGACTAGAAAAATCTGATGATGATACTTGGATTGAACGGGGACAAGTGTTTTCAGCACTAACTAAACCAGGAATATCCATTGAGCTACTTCGACCATCAGAGGAAATAAAACTAATGTAAGCATTCAGTTAGTGATTCAGTTTGCCCTCCTTTTGGAATGAGCAGAAATCTAAAATAATATCAGCTATTAAATACTTACTTGGTATTCAGTAGACATGGAGAAAAGGAGAAGCTATACTCAATTCCTTTTCCTATGTTTCATCCTACTAAAACATAAAAAGAAATAGAAGTAGTGAGATTTAAATCGTAAGAAAATTTGAGTGTTAAGTGATTTCACATTTCTTGTTTAAATTGTTTTCTGCTGTATCTTGTGACTTGATACATTATATTCTGCAAGTTTGTACAGATTTGAGCATTTCCATGGTAAGGGAAGAAAGTAATGTTTTCGTGAAAAAGTCTGAAGTATTTAGGGTTCCCTATAGATAATGGAACTTATAACAGTAGTACACCAGTACAGAATTACTTGTTTTTCCTCAAAGCCTCTCCAAAGCATAATAAGGCTTTCTTCCCTAATCTTCCTAATATCTAAATTTTTAAGAAACTATTTTATATATCTTATAGAGAGTGGAATGTGAGTTGTTGTCATAACTTTTATATAGACATGCAAAACAAGTAATTTTAACTTTTAATATTAAGTTTATTGAAAATAGATACTCTTAGACATTAAAAAGTACCTATTATTATTAAATTCATTTCATGATATCTTTGTAGTATCTACCAGTGATAGTGTATCTTCTGATATAATGCTATCAATAATGACTGCTTTTTTCTTTCATGTTAGTATCTTCTTTAGCTTAAAATGGTTTTAAGAGGACTTTATTTTACACTTAGATTGCTACAGAAAATGTTAGAATGGGCAGTCACAGAAAACAGAGAAGCAAAAAGTAATCCAGTAACTGCTGAAAATGCCTTCCGACTCGTGCTGATCATTCAGGACTTTCTTCAGTCAGAGGGACTAGTTAATTCAAACATGTGGACTGAGAAGGTTAGTAGTATGCCTTTAAAATTATACTTTAGGAGGTTAAGGACAATTGAAAGATGGAATTTTATTCCCCCCTCTTTTTAGAGTATTAATACTTAATCATAAATATAAACATGAATAAGATACATGAATAGTCACAGATTTTGTTAACTATTACTAGACTGATTCTTTTGGCTTTTGCCAGCTGGACATTTGAGTAGTTTTGAAATATGTTTGTATTTGTTGGGGAAAATTCATCATCATATGTTAAAAAACTGAATGTTTTTATTTCTCAATTTTTCCTTTGTGATAGCTTTTAGAAGACATCATGCTGCTCTTTGACTGTCTGTCAGTATGGTATTCTGAGAGTCCAGTGTGGGTAAAACTCTCCCAAATTCAGATCCAGTTGCTTCTTGGATTCATTGGAAAGGGAAATTTGCAGGTTTGTCTTTTTTAAAAATATATATTCTACACTTGCGTGCAGCAGTTATTTATATAATAACTAAATGTTAATGCTTTTTCAATACTTTTGTCAGTTCTAAAACTATTGATGACTTCCCTTAAAGTTTCAGTTTTATAAGATCAGAAAGGAGCTTGAGAGGCAGCTAATTGATTATCTCTTCCTCATAGTTATGACTCCAGGTTGCTTTCAAGTTTTCATTACTCATGAAAATTACTCATAGCTTATATTACAAACATTACTCATCTCATCTATAGTGTAGCTTGCTAGATTCTGGACAGCCTGCATAGTCACATAGTCTATGTATATATGTTCAGTTTAGTTCTTTCATTTAGGAAAATTATTTTAAGTTATTCCTTTCAGATTTTTTCTTGCTGTTTTAGTAATCCATAATTTTGGATTCTATTTCATATTTTTTTCACTCACTGAATACCAACTACCTAAAATGCTACTCATTTAAGAGAAAAAGATAAGATTTTAGAAATAAAGAGTAATGTGTTCACAAAAAATGTTCTTTATTTCTATTTTAAATTATAAGGTATAAGTTTGGAAAAGGTCCACGTGGATTTTTATCAGTCATTTTTCTGTTTACGTTGGGTTCTCGTGAGACCTGGGTTGGAATAGTCATGATATGTACCCCATAGCTATTTACCTGGCTCTCAAATAATCTTTTTCACATAACTGAAATTTTCATGCATTTGTATACTTCTGAGTTCTTTTTCTTTCTCTTACCATTATTTAAGACTCATTTCTCCATGTTACTTTCATTAGAGTCCTTTTCCTCTTTATCATAAAAGTATCATTGTAGAAAACTTGGAAATTCAGAAATGCTGAATAAGAAAATGAACATTAATGACACATAGATGATAGAAGTTTGAATTATATATCTTTTAAATGCTATTTGAAATTATATGAACTAAGAACCTTAAAATGATTATATCTTTGTTAATTTTACACTGAAATTATACCCTAAGATAATAATTTAAAATACTGCGGTCATTATACACATAGATGTCCATCATCGTATTCCTTTTTCTTCACCTAGAAATAGAGTGAAGATAGTTTTTTGTCTTTTTTACAAAATGTTTTTTATTTTTTAAATTTTTATTGTACGAATTAATGTCTTTTATTATGACATTTCCACACATGCATATAATGTATTTTGATTTATTCAGCCCCCATCACTTTCCCTTGTTTCTCCCTTTAAAGAAATTTAATTAGTTTATTCATTTATTTATTTTTTAACAGTACTGTGATTTGAACTCAGCGTCTAGTACTTACTAGGCAAACACTGTACAACTTGAGTATGTCCCAAGCATTTTTTTTTTTTTGCCTTTCATTAATATTAGCCTAATGACTGTTAAAGCAATTACAGTTAGCACTCCAGGTAGTTTTTTATCTTAGATGTAAGAACTCTTTTGTTTGTTTATTTTACTTACAGTTACCCTCAGGGTTATGGTTTTGATGAAATTTTCCTAAACAAAATGTGTGTTGATGTGGTTTACCATTAAATAACCAGTGCTCCTCCCTTAGTAGGAACTCTATAAATACTCATGAAATGAACAAGTAAGGTCAGGGTGGTCCTTCAGGCCTGTAATCCTAGCTACTCCAGAGGTTGACATTAAGAGGATTGAGCTTCCAGGTCAGCCCAGGCAAAGAGTGAGACTCTGTCTAAACCAATAAAAAACTAGACATGGTGGCATGTACCTGTCATCCCAGCTACAAGGTAAGAATAAATAATACAGTTTGGGTCCAGGCCATCCTGGGCTAAAAGTGACACCCTGTTTGAAAAATAACCAAAGCACAAAGGGCTAAGGGTGTGGTTAAGTGGTAGAGTGCCTGCCTAGTAAAGCAAGGCCCTGAGTTCAAACACCAGTAATGTTCCCCCTACCCCGGCCCCGCCCCCCCCCAAAAAAAAAGAAAAGCCTGGAGCAGTGGTTCACACCTGTAATCTCAGCTACTTAGGAAGCAGAGATTGGAAAGATCACCATTTGAGTCTGGGCAAACAGGGAGAACCATCTCAACAAACAAATAAACAAATACATCACCTACAGATAAGACTATCTTTATCTACCAGTAGTTAGTGATGTCAAATGTTTTTCAGTAGGCTGTTGTTTAATTTCATTCTTTCAGAAATAAAAGCATATTTTCCTGAAGGCTAGGTTAGAAATCTCTTATAAGGGTTATAATAGAGCTGCCTGCAGAATGAATCTGAGTAGCAAGCTTGTTTTGTTTGGTCCATACATGTTAAGTATTTAAACAGGTTTCCCAGCCTACCTCGAAGTAGGATTATATGGTTATTTATGTGTTTAGGTGCAGCCCATGTTCTTTAGTTGATTGGATTCCTTATTCTAGTTGTCTCAGCTCAGTAATTCTCATCCCTGGATACATATGAAATCACCTAGAAGGGCTTTTTAATAAATACCTACATAGAACATTACCCATAGTAATTAATTCAGAATTTGGAGGGAGGAGGCTTAGAGTATCCATACTTTTTGTAGTTCTTCAGAGTACTGTATTATACAGTACTCTTTATAATGGGGGACACAGCTGTAGGGAAGAGGTAATATATGTGAGTATGTGGTACGTATATATCCAAAGTGAAGAAAACGGCCAATTAAATTATCTTGTACTCATCAAGAGTATCTTAATACTTTTAAATAAACATATGAACTTAGAGTTATTTTATGCCATAATATTAAGGCAAAAGCAAATCACTAGATACTTAACTTTTTATATACACAGTATTTTTGAAAATATATAACAAAAAAGCCTAGAATATTAGCATTGTTATTTTCTGGATGTAGGGATCTTACGACTTGTTTTCTTTCATATCAGCCTCTATTGGAATTAAGTTTCTTTAGTCAGATTCAAAGTCTAAATTGGGGGTGGGAATATGAAGAAGGTAGAGATGCTTCACTTTCTAGTAGAGAAGTTAAAGCTTTGAGCCATCTTAACGATTATTTCCTGCAATGCTGCTTGCTTTGTTAAGATTTGCATGGAAAGACTCCTGAAGTCACTTGTTACCTTGGCCTGCAAAGACCTGTTTGTATAGCCAACTATGTTTTGGCATTTATACTGTTTTTTTTTGTTTTTTGTTTTTGTTTTTGGTACTAGGAATTGAGCTCAGAACTCATGCTGAGGCCTTTTGATTTTAGTTTGCTTTTCAGATTAGTGTCTCATTCTAATTTTGTCCAGTCTTGCCGCAAACCATGATCTCCTTCTTCCACCTCCCAAGTAGCTGGAATTATAGGCGTGTCCCACCATGCCTGGCTTGGTACAAATACATTCTCGAGGTGGTGTGAAGCTGTAATAATTTGTTCTTTTTTCTTTTACTTTTTTTTTCATTTGTGTTATAATAAGATTCAAAGTAAGAATATAGGGTTAAGGAAGAAGGAGGCACAATTATATCATTGTTTTCCTACTTTGAGGTTAAGGCTTACATTTTTCCCTAGCTTAGAAAATATAAGTCTCTTTAAGGACTTAATTTACATTTCTGTATTGGGGCTTATACCCAAATCTTATTTTTTTTTTTTATACTAAGGATTAAACCCAGGGATTCCTGCATGCTAGGCAAGTATTCTACCAGTGAGCTAAACTCGTAGCCCATGACCAAATCTTGATAGTAATATAGAATACTCTTTGTGCCTGGACTTATGGTATAAGTATATATTTTCCTTGGGAAACTAGGATAACTAGGTTTAAGGGAACTGGTTTCTCATTAAAGACTCAGACTCCTTATATATCTGTACTTTACATTTTGTTGATTCCAAATAAGAACAACATGAAATCAAACTGACTTCATAAAGATTTATTGACTCAAAAATTGAGAATTCCATAGTTCAGATGAGTTTAAGGCATGCTTTCATCATGCTTCTGGTTCCACTTATTTGTGGTTCTCATTGTGTTGCGCTTCTCTTATGGGCACAAAATGGCTGCCAACAGCATTTAGCATGCTACCTTATCCATGTCTAGAGAAAGATAGTGCTTCTTCCTATAGTCATTATTGGTGGACAGTTCTCTGTGATTTCTTATTTCTGTGTATTATGTGCATTAGATGCTCTGCTGCCTTTGTTAATGAACTCTTTTTGAGATTATATAGTGGAAAACTTTGGAAGATATAGGTTACGTCTCTCTCCAGAGTATAAAGCAGGTTTGTTTACTGTCCAATATGATAAAGATGATGTCTCTGTCCATGAGAAAGATCACACAAGCTCACAGACCAGTAGAGAAGATTCGGGTTCCTTGTGGTTGGTGTGCCCCTCTGATCAAATAGTCTATATGCAGGTATCATCATCTTCTTTCACTGGGAATTGTATTTGGAAAGCCAGTTCAAATACTGATACTGTGGCTGCTATTATTCATGTAGATCTTTGTTCCTGACCCAAGAGCCTCATGTTTTATGCCAACACCTACGAAACTTCTAACTTATTCATTTAGAAATAGGTTAGATATGAAACCTTTCACAACTGCTGACAATATATAGAAGTTCGGAACTTGAAGAGTGAGGCAGATGCTTTGCTATCATTAAATGTTTTATCTGCTTTTTATCACCTAATGTATTTTCTTCTAGGTTTGTGCAATGGCATCAGCTAAGCTGAATACCCTTCTTCAAACCAAAGTTATTGAAAATCAGGATGAAGCATGTTTCATTTTAGGGAAACTAGAACATGTTCTCAGTCAGTCAATCAAGGAACAAACAGAAATCTACTCATTTCTGATTCCCCTTGTCCGTACTCTGGTTTCCAAAATTTACGAACTTCTCTTCATGAACTTACACCTGCCTTCTTTACCTTTTACCAATGGTAGTTCCTCATTTTTTGAAGATTTTCAAGAATATTGCAATTCAAATGAATGGCAAGTTTACATTGAAAAATATGTAAGTTTTACGTTTTTTCAGTAAAATTTTCTACTGATTTATTTTTATAAAAGCATATATCACATTCTCTATATTCTTTTTTAAATAAGATTGTACCTTATATGAAGCAGTATGAAGCTCACACATTTTATGATGGTCATGAGACCATGGCACTTTATTGGAAGAATTGTTATGAAGCCTTAATGGTGAATATGCATAAACGAGACCGGGAAGGAGGGGAAAGCAAGCTCAAATTTCAGGTAAAAGTTATATTAAATGTTTTAAAATCCAGTTTTTTATGTTGATTCCAAGCATTTGATATTCAAATAAGAGTAATACTGAGCCTGAAATTTGAAAACAAGCACTAGTCTTATCTGAAAGTTGGATCAGAATTGGGAAAAAAAAAACCCAGAGGATCAGTAACAATTGAATAAAATTTTAATAATAAAATATTCTATGCACATAATGATTATATTAAAAGTTTATTAAGCTGAGAGTCCACTAGTAGGTACCTCTAAGAAGGTTAGATGCAAATCAGTACTTAGAGGAAAATTTACAACAGGATATGCTTGTATTAGAAAAGTAGTTTATTGGAGAACATCATCCTGAGTGAGGTTAGCCTGACCCAAAAGACCAAAAATCGTATCTTCTCCCTCATATGTGGACATTAGATCAAGGGCAAACACAACAAGGGGATTGGACTTTGATCACATGATAAAGCAAGAACATAAGGGAGGTATGAGGATAGGTAAGACACCTAAAAACTAGATAGCATTTGTTGCCCTCAATGCAGAGAAACTAAAACAGATACTTTAAAGCAACTGAGGCCAATAGGAGAAG